GTTTCGTTTTCAGACCCTTCCATTCCAAGCAATGGAAAGATCCAAAGATCTTTTATCTCTCAGAAATATTTTATGATGCCTAGTTCATGGCAGATGTTGAAAGACATGCCTAATTAGGAAAAGTCTAAATATCTGAAGAAATTAAGAATGCATGTCAGTCTATATAGAGAGACTTGGTATTTAATTTTAGCATAAACTTTCTTCTGAGTCACTGATGCACTGATGTATCTTGACAACCACTCGGCTGCGTTATATTCTCTTGAGAGCTGCTGCTAATTTTGCTGTAAATTGAGTGCTTCCTTAGTTCCCTTTTCTCCTGAGAAGTGGCTGGAGTATTTTATTAGCTAGCATCAATTGTTGAAGGAGTAAAGGTGCCCGCCGTTAACTCATGTTACTCGGTGACCCTCTGTTTTACTGGGAGGAGAATATTGTCTGGAGATCTTAAGGGACTGAAACTAGTGATCCTTGGCTTGTTCTTCCAATATTGGCTTCTTGTTAAAGCCTTTCAGCATTTGGGTGCTTCTTTCGCCAGCTGAGGGAAGGTCTCTTAAAGGGACATACTCAGCAGATGCCATGTGGGTTTTTTCTGACTGCTTAAATAAATTGGATTGCTTAAATAAAGTAGAAAATATCTAATCTGTAATCAGATACTGATATGCAGAATTTTAGGGCAAAGTCTGTCTAGAAGATTGCATATTAACTGCAGAAAAATCAAAAATAATTAATTAAACCCAAAGCATCAAGTGCTAAGTCAAATGCTTTTTCTTCAGGTTAAAAGTTGAGGAAGCCAGAGAAGTTCAGAGCCTCAGAAAGCGACCCAATGGGGTGAGGTAAGGGCTGTAGCACCAAGGATGTGAAGTTGTGTTTTGTCCAACGGTGTAATGTAACAGTAAATTTCTCTCCTGTCATGTGCCTCCTTTTGGTAGAAACTGTTACATGTTGGATCATGCCAAAAGTATGTTCTTGATAGAGGAGTTTCTACATTAAAGCCTGAGGATGGAAAAGAGGGGGAGTTTGGTACGGGTGCACCGTGTTGGTTTACAGTCTGTTCTGTATCCCAGCCATGAAGAAAAAGATTAGGATTGGGATTTACCATGAAATGTATTTTCACCAAATTACTTTTGTACTGCACACATGATTTAAATTGGACACTTTCACACCCCCTCCAACCTAATTCCCCTCTCCTCTAGTGCCATTGATTAGCTGATGAGCTCGTTGAAATGCGCACCAGCAACGAACTTTGTTTGTTATTTTGATGACTCACTGTAAGGCACTAAAATCTGCCCTCTCATCTCCCCAAAACAGTAATAGTCCCTCTGTCCATGTGGAGGGATTAGGAAGATTGACAATTTAGTGTTAACACAGCGTGTGAGACCATCTGTTAGATTTAGAGAAGGGTAAAAAAATGCAGCGTTGTTGGTAATATGCTTCCTTCCACTGAATTTTATTTACTTTCTATATCTGCTTGACTAGTGCCGTAGCTCTGCTTGTGGGAGAGAAGTTGCAAGAAGAAGCAACACTTGTGGTAAGTGCTTTCATCACCTCGAGGCTAAGATGTAATGATGTGAAAATACCAGTGTGGTCCAGCCAGTCACTGTGTGAGTCTGGCCTAGGGTAGGACTGATGTCACAGCTCAATACTTACAAGTTTTCTGTGTTTTTATCCAGATTTCGTAGACTAGCATTAAACTAGAGGGAAGCTTCAGGGTTTCTCATTGTTTCTGATTTACAGGATGACCCATTTAAGATAAAATCTGGGGGAATGGTGGACATGAAGAAGCTGAAAGAAAGAGGCAAGGACAGGTGGGTGCATGTGAGCTCTGAAGATCTCTCCCGGACTAGTATTAAATGACAGCTAGTAATGAAGTAACCAGATGTTGTGTTGCTTCGAAGAGTTTAATGTAATACAGTTTGGCCAGTTACTGTTACCCTAACATGTCAAATTAGTTTAAAAAAAACAAAACACACACACACAAAAACCTCCAAAACAATAAAAAAAAACCCTCACCCAAAAAACTGTAAACATTGTTTCCATTTAGGATTAATGAAGAGGAAGATCTAAACTTGGGAACTTCCTTCTCAGCTGAAACCAACAGGCGGGACGAAGATGCTGACATGTAAGTTGTGCTGCGTTGTGTCTGTGATGTTGGATTCTGGGTTGGGTGTCCCCTCACAGTGTATTTTTTTCTGTCTTGGATTCTGAGTAGCCCCAGAATGTCTTCCTGGTTCTCACTGAAACTTTCACTTGCTCTCTCACCTCCTGGCTGCCAGACTGGAGAAGACTTTTTCATGGACAAAGTGGGAGGTGCCAAACAGCCAGCCAGTGTGGTGGCATTAAATACCAGTGGGAGCTGTCCCTACTGCTTGTGGAAGATCTTGGAGGCTCTGATTATTTATTGTACAGAGTAGCAAATATCTTGCTTCTTGCAACTGATGTTAGCTGAGTTGTTTTGGAGAGATTATTCTTTCCTCTCTCCTTGCTGTCGGGACAGTGATGCGGCTGTGCTCAGCACTGCTGGGACAGAGTACAGAAAACAGAATTAAATGCTGTGTGTCCCTCTTGTGTTTCTGTTCAGGATGAAGTACATTGAGACGGAGCTGAAGAAGAGAAAGGGAATTGTGGAGAATGAGGAGCAAAAGGTGAAGCT